CCTGCGGTGGGTCTGGGCTGCCGAGAGGTGGGTGCCAGCAGGCAGGACGTGACCCGCGGGGTGGGTGATGGGCTGGGCGCCCCACCCAGCTCCCATCTCCTCCAGCCCCTCTTTCTCCTGTTTTCAGTTTAAATGCAGTTTAATGAGCTGTTTTATCAGGATTTTTTTCGCTCCTGGGGGTCAGTGTGGTGAGGCTCGTTGGCTCACAGAGAGGGAAAGCATTCGTCGGGGTGGGGGGGTCCCCAAATTATCCTCATTACTCTCACCCCTGGTTGAGGCAGAGCCTGTCCCGTGCTCCTCGCTAGGAAAGATCCTGTCGGCTGAGCACCATCGGCTGAACTCGAGTTAGTTGGGATGGGGGGAGCTGTTTCTGGAGCCAAATGAAGGCTGACCTTCCCCCTCACACCCCAAAAATCGGGGTGCTGCTCGGCTGGAGGGTCTCGGCCCCCCTGGCAGCCCTCACCCCTTTGCTTTCTGTGCCCCACAGCCCCAGCGAGGAGCCGGGCAACCCGCAGCAGCACAAGCCCAAGCAGGTGAGAAAATAATCCTTCCTCCATCCCTGGTGCCGCCATCCCCTGCTGCGGGCTGTCCCCAAGGGCTGGGGACATCGGAGACCCCTGGCCCCACACCAAGACCGAACTGGGGCTGGACAGGCTGCTCTGTCGGGGTGCTGCATCCGGGGGGAAGGGGGGGGGGCATGAACTGCTGGGCCCCCCCCTCCAGGGTAGGTGGGTAGAGGAAATCCCACAGCCCCCTCTGTGCCTTCATGCATCCTTCCAGACCCCCCCCTCTCCATCACTTCTGAGCACCCCACAAGGTGGGCTCTCAGTTCCTAATTAGCACTTCAATTAAGCCTCTCAGCTCAGCCATCAGCCGTGATTCACTTTCCCCAGGCCACGACCCTAGGGGCCGATCCCCCTCGCTGTGTTTCGGCACAGCCCTCGGGTGCCGCCGGCCTTGGAGGGGTCTTTGCAGCAATCTCATCGACCACCCGATTTAATCAGCAGCCCCTCCTCGAAGGGCTTCGTTAAGTAACGAAGCAGGCCTCTGTCCTCCCCCCTCAGCTGCTTAAGGGGATTAAAGGATGCAAAGGAGCTTTTTCAGTGCGAGCTGATGACTTGGAAGAAACCAGTTCCCAGCTCCGCCATGGGACCCCCAGCTTCCCCACAACCCAATCTGCAGCACTGGGATCCCACTGGGATCCAACTGGATCCCTCCTCTTGCAAACACTTTCACCCAGTGCAGGGGGGTCTGGGAGGGACAAAACCCCTGCGAAGGGGATGGTGCTTGGTGGGGTGGTGGGTGTCCTGGTGCGACTGGGTTTGCTTAAATCACTTTCTGAGGGCCCCAAAGCTGACGCCTGCTCCCCAGATATCTCCGGTCTGGAGCCAAGTGCTGCCCCAGGTGCTCGGTGTTTGGTAAATCAGGGTTATTTATAGCCCCGGCTAACCGGGATTAGGTGTGCTGTGCCTAATCTCCCTGTTTCCCCACTCCCACTGACCTCCATCCCATGGCCCCACAGCTCTGTGCCTTCGACCGGAGCCTTTTGTAGGGGCAAGAGGAGGTGGAGGTGTGGAGCTGGGCTGCCTGCCTGTCCCCATGTCCCCTGTCCCAGCTCAGGTCCCCCGGCTTGCCCATCAGGAGATGAGCCGATGTCTGGGGTGGCTCCTGGCTGGGGTCCCTACAGCACAGCGTGGCTTGTCCCTCCATGCCGGCACAGTCCATGGTGTCGGCACAGCGTCAGCATCACGTCCCTCGTCCCCGGAGCTGGCACGTGGCCTTCTGTCCCAGCGCTGACACTCTCCCATCTGTCTACTAACAGCACTTTCTGTTTTCCTCCCTCTGCCTTCCCCGGGGGGCTGCCCCATGGTAAGTCACTCGTTTGAAGCTGCGAGTGTGTCCCCATCCCCGGAGCGGGTCCCTGCTCCCACGGGGGGACAGGGAAACGCCTGGCTGTATTTCAGGAAGGGAGCCGGTGCTGTATGAGCAGGGGTCACCTTGCCAAGGGAAAAGGGATTTAAGGCCGGCACGGTGTCCGCAGGGGCAGAAGGTGAAGAAGAAGCGGCAGGAGCCTGTGCT